TGGGACTTCTCAGCAGTGTACACCCATGACTCAGATGTCTAATTCTCTCAGGTTTTTAATCATTCTTTGACTGATGCCAGTCCATAATGAATACCACTTTGAAATCAATAATTCTCTATAAATCTTCAAACTGAATTACCGTTCAAGTAACAACTAGGTTTATTCAACTCAATAAAAAAGGTAACCGAAGCAGTTTGTAATACTTAGATGATGGGTGACAACAATCTGTCTACAAATTCATTAAATTTTGAAAAGACATAAACAGATGTGAAATTAAGACTGTGCCTGACCCTGAGTAAAACGTACTCCATCATCTGCAAGGAAAATAAAATCCATAAGCGACGGTTCCAACGGTCGTATGTTACTGTTCCAACAAAAAAAACAATAACAATATAGAATAGTGTCTCCTAGTATCACGACTGACAGAATACGATAATCTGGTTAGCTTCATCACGGACAACAACCTATTGTAAATCACCAAGAGCTGAAAAGATGTCACACTTTTTCTTCTTCTCAGACTCCTTATCAGTATACCCATTCACTTCTGTTCAAAGTAAACCCGAAAACTTTTAGCTCCACAGGAGACAGTAAAATCAACCAAAATCTTTAAAATCAGTGGCAATTTATGGGCTACACATACATCACACCATAATATGTCATGTTCAGGTATTCCTTAAGAATGCAAACTATGAACTAACTATTGATTGGAAGCAAACACGCTATCCACGAAATAGACAAGTCTGTTTATGCATATACGTGTAAAGTATAAACAAGGAAAATCTGGGTGTGTCCATTATAGTCACTTTATTATTTCTATCCATGTTCTTTCACGTAATATATGGACTGATTGTGTTCCACGATCAAGTAACAGTAAAAATTTCTCGTATTGACTTACTTCACTATACTTACGGTGTTATTAGTAAAATCGCTTTCCACCTAGCTGCAATTTAACCAGTTTAGACCCTTTAAACTGTACTACGAAAATAAAAAACAAAATATTTAAAGGTACACTGCTGCTATGTTTGATAAGTCCTATACTCCATTTATGGTGATTTTCAAGGTCGATAGACAAAGTTGATATCGAACAGTAGTGTACTCATAACACAACTGTTCACTACAACCTTCTAACCCAGCGCTGTATTGGATAATATTGCACTTCAGGGTAGGCAGTACTTCGGCGTGCATATGCCTAGTAGCTGAAGGTTTACGACTTCATCGACTGACCTACCTTACTTGTATAATACCATTCACCTAACTAATGCACTTCTCTTACAGCGATCCTACCTTAAATGAGCAATGACATGAATATACCTACAATTAAGGACCTGCATTCTCTTCATATCTTCTACTTCCAACTGTCATGTCTCACAGTCATATAGAAGGATAGAGTGGACTGCATATTCATCTTTTGGTAGGTGAGTCAAATGTCTTGCCTGTGAAACACCAAGTTAGTGAACGTCGAGGGAATTTTGTCCCTGAGCTAAGATTTTGTCAGCCACCAATGCATATGTGATGATGACACCTCTAAATAAAGTGAAGTGATCAATGCATTTAGCCATTTCATTCCCTATCCTTAAGCTGTGAGTAGTAGAAGACCAGTCCTGAAGTATCATCTTCATTTGACAGATGCAAAATACATACCAAATGCACTCAGATTTCTGTGCAAGACGTTCAGAAAAATCTGCACTTTGTTAGCATCTTCACATAGCAGGACAATATCGTCTACTTATTCCAAGCTAGCCGAGTGATATTTGGGTAATAGTTCAGTCCCTGTAAAGTCAAAAGTACCTAAGGTCATGCTAATTATCACATTTATAACAAAGTTAAGTGGAGACAATGACAACCAGCACCCTTAGTGGACCCCACTGGCTGTCATTAATTGAAATGAAAACGCTTCATGAACCCTAACGAGTTTGAGTAAACATCTTTGATGAGGATTATATACTTGTACATTACTCTCATTGTAGTCAGACATTACCATAAAACCAGTCGGTCGGCAGAGTCAATTGCAACCTTCACGCTGCAAAATGCAACTAGTATCGGTCACCAGTAGGTGAGTCTGTGTTCTAAGATTTGTCTAGTTCCCTTGAGCTCCATCCAGCTAACCGTCACATACTTATGGACCTTAGGATCTTGGGCACAATGTTGGTCAAAGTGACTTCCCTACGGTAGTTACAAAAGGACATCCCTCTACTTTTATAGATGAACATCCCAGTCCAGTATGACAGGACTACATCTAACTTCCATACACTGCGTAGTACCTCTGTTACCTGAGTGATTTTCTACTTTCTTTCCTTAGAACCTGTTTTGATAAAACTTCAGTTTAGGTTTCAAAAAGTCTCGTAAGAGAGTTAGAGGACCGACATTTATGTCATATTCAGGTTTAAACTGGATAGTAGAGGAAGAAAGCGTTGCCGTACCGAAGTTGAAAGTTTCCCATACAACTTTTTCCAACTGTCTTAAATTGTCTTAATGACCATCTTCATCTTCTTGCTAGTATCCTCAATAAGTCTAAATAGTTACCAAGTATGACTTACTGCTGATATCTTTTCCATCCCTTTTGCTTTCGCCACCCACCACAGTTACTGCGAAGATTGCTATTCAATTTACATCTAAGCTGGTTTCGTTTCTCATCGAGACTAAGACAGCTGGAATGAGTCTTCTAGCATTAGTGAGTTCGAATAAGGTCACCGAAATTCACAGAATTAACCTTCCATGGTGTGGTCAACCGGAAAGTATCACTCCTCCATACAACTGTCAGAACTTAAGTTTCTCCGTATAATTATCGTCCTTCGACAATTTTACATTCCCATAACGTCTTTAAGTTAATATCCCTATAGCATCTTTAACTTCTTCTAGTCTTGCAATTTTTAATAACAATTCAAACTTTCGCAACAGCACTCTTGGTCTTCTGAAACCTCGCTTCAAATTACGTACTACAGCTTTCCTTATCCTCACCTTCCTTCAAATCAATCAACAAGTTTCGCTAGCCAAACGTTCAAACGTGGTTAAGTAAGTGGGCTGTTTAAGGTACAAAGATACCTTGGCAACGTTTTCAGGAACTCAGCCTAATGAACAGATGACAGAAACAGCTTGCCAGAACGAGGTTCAGGTATAACGACAGACATTATCTGACGTGGCACCCACTGACCTCAACTCAGTGGTGGACACAGACACCATGTTGCCATCAGCTCTAACGGGAGAGACTTAGTGAATAACTTCCGCTTTTTCTGAAGAGTGATCATGCGTAAGTCACAGCACGCCAATGTCTGCTTCGAAATGATCGTGGAAAAATCTATAGCTGCAAGTCCATTCTAAGAGCAGTTTAATGATGAGGACACTAAGACTGGTTTCAATAAGGAACTGGCTAGACATTGATCGGAGCAGGACAATATCACCCAAGGTCATTTGGGTTAGTAAAGAAAGTATCTAAGACCTGTGGCCAAAAATTATTAGTTGGATTAAATGAACTGTTAGCTAGCTTATGGGAATCAGATATGATCACCTCTGAATGGTTTTAATCATTGGTTGTCTTATTCATTAGAAAAGGACAGAAATACTCCAGCGATAACTACATTGAAATCAGCTTGACAAACCCGGTGTCTAAGATTCTGGATTCCAAGATTATCAGATGTCTTAGTGAAGATTGAAAACAAAAAATCCAATAAAACCAGACAGGCTTCATACCTGACAGTGGAAACACCAACTAAAAATTCACTCTTCACTAGGTTCTTGATCATGGGCAAACTTACTGGTGCCTGGAAGTAGCTGTTGCTCTCGATCCGAAAGCGGCATTCGACATGGTTAACTAAGAGATCTTATGGCAGTTTCGCTCGCAGAAAGTGATGCCGAGTGAAAAAATCATTGTTGAAAGCCCTGCCCTCGAGCTAAAGTAGGCCTTTGGTGAGTTATGAAATAAGTTGTGTACGTCAAGTGGTTTCCGCCAGAGATGTTCACCCTTTCCAATCTTATACAACTTTATCAAGGACATACTTAGCAAGGTGTCGTTCTCATCATCTGACATCACGAGGATTAATGTTATGACAGGAAAATACCTAGTAGACCAACAGTAGGCAGATCAAGCACCTTTCCCACCTGAAAAAGCCAACAGTCTCCACAATATTATGAACACGTCAAGTAGCAATCTGCACATCCTTAACATGCGTTGCTCAACATCAAAATGCGAATTGTTCCCCAAAAGAAACATCTTCACTAGTGCTCCATATAACAGCAGGAAGTAAAGTGGTGGATTCATTCCACCCCTTCACTCATCTGGGAAGTCACTTCACTACTGCCAAGTAGTCACTGACCGATCAAATCTCTTCTCACAAAACAAAGCCTCACTCAGTCTCCGCCAAACTACTCCATCTGTGCCATCGGTGTGACATACCACTGCTCAATAAGTACTGAATGTAGTGTGCTGCAGTTCGATCTCTTCTAATATTTAGTGGTGAAAAAAAATACTGAAAGTAAAGGACACGAGGAAGCTTCAGCATTTGCATCGCCGTCACCTTTGTAGCACATGTTGTATGTCGTAGTGAAACCATGCCAGGAGTGTAAAAGTCAGATGTAGTGTAGAGTTTTAAGGAGAAGAGGGAAGTCAGCTGATAAGGTTGTGAACCTCTATCGACCTAGATGCCTGAGACATGTGTTACGCATGCCTGCCTAAAGTGGGTTGCATCGTAAAATGTTAGGTGAAGTAGGTCCAGGCTGGCAAAAGTTGTAGGTGGTCAGAGTAAGAAGTCTTTAAGTGTTTATCGAAATTGTCGAGGTAAATGTAGACTTCATCGTTAGGGTCTACGTGACAACAGAAACTCGAGGTTGAAGACTTTGAGTGATATGCTTCAGAATCAATCTCAATGGTGTAAATGTATCCACATGCTACCTTTACCTTAATCGTTATATTGAATTGTTGTGTTCCCTCATCTTATCTCACTTTCTTAGTGCAACTTTCTACTACTTTCGACTGCTTTCTTTTTATTTCTGTTTTTCATTTTATTGCCTGATATCTTGATGTAAGGTGTAGTAACATGAACCGTTGCGAAGCAATGTCACAATGTTGCATTGCTTAGATAATCGCTAAAGTATTTAACGTTTGACTTTTCATCTTCCAGTTTCTTAAAATAAGTAGAATAATACGACTGATAATAACTGTCTGAGATCCTTATTCTCGTCTGCTTAATCTATCATAACTATGACTGTGTCCCTAGCCCATAATTTTGTCAGCACAACTCGACATAAAATTAAGATAGCAAATTCAAAATGCATCTCTTCAAAATAATCCTTCTACGGTAAAAATATATAAATTAAATGTTTTCTGTGTACGGCCTATTGATATAGATTGAAACCACATCTAGAGAAATCTTTCATTTACCCAAAGAATAAATGTCATTTATTGAATCAGCCAGGCTATATGAAAAGAATTCAAGCTATAAGTATTTAGGTTTTTTTCTGATTGGTTGAAGGATATCCACCAGCTGTTCAGTGAAAGCATAAAAAATTCAATTGTTCATAATAACAGTATATTTTAATATAATCTCAGTGTCTTTAGAAAGTCAAAAAAAAAGATATTTATGAAGGTTTCCCTGTGTAAGCCACACCTTCTTCAACAGCATATACAGCTTTATTATTAATATCAAAATATTCGAATTTCATCGTAATGGCAAATTTTGTTTATATATTTTCTTAGTAGACCATATTTTTTTGAAGTTACATAATTAGATGATTGTAGTTAAATAGATAGTTTGGAGCTGGCAATTATATCATTCTTTATTTCCTTCAATATCCGTGGAAGCTGCTGCTCAATCTGTTCGGTACCATCTTTTTGAGTAATCTTTTTTCAATAGCTTTTTCGTATTTTTCCAACTCTATTATAATTACATACTTCACTATTATGATCTTCATCAGGACACTTTTTTTTCTTTGTTTTGTTTATATAGATCAATTGGACACTCAACTATCTTATTTCACATCTACCTGTAATTCTTCCTTTGTCAAATTCCTTATTATTCGTATTACTTGGATCATCTTATAGGTTATGTAACAGCCCTGTTTTCAGCCTCCGGGTATCACTTATTATTCCGGTTCTAAGCACTGTTATAATGATGAAATTTTAACCCATTATTGATTGACTCTTTATTTCCTATGAAACAACTTATACTACTGGCTATTTCAGCAGCTGTTTGAGCAGCTTTTAGAGTCACTCCTGTTATTCAACAATTCAATATGCATACGACTGTACAATTGTAGAAAATGGTGTAATCAAAAAAGAGATTTCCTTTCGCTGAATTGCCTTTTTTTTCATGTAAACATTAGTTATTTTAGTCGCTAAATAGTGATCAGTATTAAAGGATTTTCATATTTAAGACCTATATGTCAGTATGTTGTATTTTTTTAGAATTTATTGATGAATAAAAGTACGATTCCAATGACCTGATCAACTCATTTGTGAAACATTGATTACCATTGTTGATGATATCATCAATGCAAAATTTCAAAGGAGCAGTTGTATAATTCGCTTATATTACCCGAGATGTAACCAGTTATGTAAGCAGGTAGTATTTAAAGTAGTCCCCAGATACATATTAAAAACCTAACTAACATAGAATAAAACCAAAAATTATCAGCATAGATGTGCTTTGCTAATCATATGAACTTAGTTGAAGGCATTGTAACAACTGAGCACTATCCTTCCCATACCCAACCTCACACTTAGAAAGACAAATATTAGGTTATATTTATTAATCTGATTATGAAATTTGTTATGATATCAACGATAGTAGAACAAAAAAACAGTACAGTACACTAAGTGAAAAGCTCTTTCATAGATATCTATATCCCACAATATGGTTCGCAAATGTCTGATTTAAAGTAATATTCCTATCGTTTTTTCATCAGAACCTTTATTTGTCTACCCAACACATTAGTGCTATTATATTTATTCAGATTTGCATAACCATTTCATTATGCTACCGCTCTTTTTCACTTTATTCATTGACTGACTTCTATTCAATGGATTAAAACTGTAAATATTTAGATGCTACAAGTTGTACACAGTCAGGGAGAAGTAGAAAGACGAAAATAAGTGGTCATTGTTCTTTTCTGACATTTCTTCTTTCACTTTTCAGGTGTACATAAGCTTACTTACTTGAGTTTTAATGTTACAAAAATGCGAATAGGATGCTTTAGTTTGCAATATTTCATCAACATCAAGATTAGGGTCATGGTAAACTATAATTTTCTCTTTTTCAACTGATGATATGTCAACCAACAGATTAGCTCAATGATAGATTTGATGAATAAATTGTTTATTCAATTTAGAGGTTTGTAGGGATTCATTGGTTTGTAGTTGGTTTTCATCACACACTGAAGCCAGTTGGAGAACCACTGAAAAACTGCAAGGACTGGACAGCTGCTTTTTCCAAGTACTGTACAGTGCTCATTAGTGACTTACATTGAGCTAAGATTTCCCGAAGTTATAAACAGAAGTCATGAACGATCGAATCCACCCAAGTTGGACGTGAGGACAAATATACAACAATGGGATAGCACGAAGACCACGGTAACTCATAAACTGACAGAAGTATGAAGATCAGGACCCTTGGATTCCCACCCAGTGGCTGAATGGTGACGTGCTAGCCGCTAAACATGAAGGCCTTAGGTTCAACCCCTAGCAGGTCATGGATACGCACTGCTAACGGGTGCTATACTACGACGAAACAGCTGTCCAGTGCTCACAGGTTTTCAATTATCCCCTAACTGATGTCAGTTCACGATTAATACCAAACTGAAATTGGATGATCTTGTATAGAGCAGTTATGAATCGAGTTGAAACAAAGCTTGAGTCGCTATCGAATCTAGGAAAAGCTTCAAGTAATGAATAAAATGACTATCAAGAATAATCATTACCACCAAACTCGTTGCAGCGGAAATTTCTTCAACGACTACACTAGACTTTCAGTTTGTCACCTAGGAGAAGAATGTATACATATTCTATTGCACTGAATGACCATATGCAGATTGCTTACCAGGCAGTTAGTCACACCTATTCTTCGAGGATCACTAATGCTATCTGGCTACTTAAAGCTTGGTAGCTAGAGTAGGCGAGAACCAGTGACCCACCAGTCTTACAGGAAGAGATTTATGTCCACAAATATCGAATAAGGCAATCAGTAGGCACGTTAGATTCCGCAATGAATAAGATTTGACCCTTACTTCACATCTGATACACAGTTCAGAGTAATTGTTAAAATATACGATGGTTTACCTCTACTCAGAAATTCCAAAAATACCCTGAAGGTTGACATAGAATGCTTAAAATTGAAAGGAATGCACAACATTTCAGAAACTTGCTATAAAATATCATTTTTCACTTAGATATACAGAACAAAACAAAGCACACATAAACAACAAGGGACACAGTAGCTAAGGTATTGAGTGATTGCAACAGCGACCAGTTGATTGATAGACGTATGGAGTCAACTGGACAGTAAGATATTGTCTTATGCTTAACGCAAAATGATCATTATTACAAGAGTGAAAGTGTCGATATCTTAGCTCGGATACAAAAAGCGCACTTGGCACTTACCAACTTGTGTCATCTCTGGAGCTGAATGGCGAGAAATCCAACTACTTGTCAGAGGACAAGAATACTGCGCTGCAGTTCGTTTTTATCCTTTTATACAGCTGAAAAGCATAGCCATTATAAGATATAAAGCATGTACAGACTTTTGGTCACAGATGTCTTCGTAACATTGTTCGCGTTTGGTGGAATCACTGTTTGGGAATGATGGGGTTAGATGAAGGGTAATACGCAAGAAAAGAAAGTCGAAACATGAAGTTGTGAACGTGCATCGACTGAGGTTACTTGGACATGTGCTTTGCATTTCTAGCCATGTAGGTTCAGGATGGCCGCATTAAGATGTGGTTTCAGTGCGAGAAATGCATGACTGTTGGTCTGAGCTGTGTAAAGAGGGAGGTGTAGACTACCTGATTGGCGTATCTGAGACGGTAGGAATCAGTGGTTGAGGACTGTGGGTAACATGGCTGAAAATCGGTCGCAGTGGCATAGATGTATTCACTCTTTGACGTTTTCTAATGCTTGAATATTTTGAATAACCTTTATTTTTAAATTCTTTCTCCTCCTACACAACTTTGTCTACTTTGATATCAGTCTTTTTTTCTATCCACTTCTTTTTGGAGTACTTTTTTGAAGCGCGGCAAATTAAATTGGTGCACTTATGTGAAAGATTCTACACTGATCTGGTCACCGTTAAATAAAACTGAGTGATGATTGTAAGTGAAATGAAAACCTAGGCCACAACAAGAGTCGAACCAGCGACCTCCAACCGTCACATCCCTTAGGCATATAAAAGTCATTGTAAGTTTGAAAATATAATAAAATTTACCCACTTAAGACTCCTCAACTAACGTTCCCCATATTGGAAAATACATTCGCAGAACGCGGCGTTCTGTACGATGAACAGTTGCATTCTATAGTTTGACAGCCGTGAAAGAACTTACTGAAAAATGTTCATTGTTCATATTGTCTTTTATTTCATATAGTAATAACACTTATTGTAGAATATCTCTTTAAACATTTGCTTTCGAATCTGAACAATATTATGTCTCTAAAACTGCTATAATGAATTCCATCCGTTAGGCAAAGGTTATATTACAAGGGAAAAAGGTGATACACAGGAATACGAGTAATTGAATGACTCTAAAATATTGATTTAAGGGGACTTACAGCAGCCGCTATAGCAGTTGAAACACCAGATACTGTAGCCGCAGCGACAATCATTGCGATTAGATGGAATATTGAACAGATTGTAATGCAGATAAATTCCTTCAGATTTAAACAAAGTAACAAAGAAAAGTAGATAATAATACTGATGCACTCATCTGACGATTCAATTGCAAGTATGAAGTATCATGCTTAAAGTAATAATGCGAGATGAAATTTTCTAGCGTAGGACTAGTTGAACGACTTAGCTTAATCTATGAAGGCGACTGTCACATTAAAATTCAGTTACACTTTCATTGGGCCGAACAAATTTTGTTTACTAAACGTTTCTACAAATATCAAAGTGGTTTTCATGACGAATTGTCAGCAATTACAAAGTTTAATGGAACACTGGAAAACTTTTTCACCCTAACTTACAACTAGCCAATAATAATGAAGACATTCGATTTACCCTGAGAACGACTTGGGGATACAGAACATTTATATATAATACATCACTATTGAAAATTGGAATTCGGAAGCCAGCATTGTTAAATCCTAGATAACTTGTGTCTACGACATTGAAAAATTTTCGAAACCTGTGTAACTGAAGCAAAAACTTCAGTCTTATTTCCTCAACAAAAGTAATTTCTAACTAATCATGTAATGAAGTGGTATACTTCGTTACTTCACCAGCACTGTGTCAAAGATAACACTGTATGACATTAAATGCATGAATACCAACGAAAATCCCGTTGATATCATCAATGAGTAGCTGAAAAACTGCCTTCTCATATGTGAGAAGTATTAACAAGGACTGACTGACCACTACCACTACCAGTCTCAATGTTCTGTTATGACTACTTTTGAAAATGCTTTCGCTGTAAAGCAATACACTGAGCTTATTTTAACATCTTTTGAGGTGTTTATCTACCTTATTTATGACCATTTAATTAATGCTGATGTGTAATGGTTGCATGGTAGCAACACGAGCGGTTCATTTGGGGATATTTAACAAGTTCAAAAAATCCCAGCATATAGTCTTTCACAATGCAAGCGGCATAAAAAGGAAAAAATCAATTAACTTTCTGCTAAAGTTTAACTTCGAGAGAAAACTGTGTGACTTTCGTTCTACCATCACAACCGATAGATAGATTGAACACATTCAAGCATGACACAGTAGTATGCTACCTGAAGTTAGGATATTTTTAATCAAAAAGGTGAATGGTGAAAAGCTTTGAAGCCTGTGTGTTCGCCTTTAATCCTAGAGACCTTGGGATCTTGAAATCTGACAGATAGTATTTAGTTTTGTCGGTTAGAATAAAACACTGATTGAATATTACGAAATCAGATGGTGTAGATGAATAGATTAGGAGTAAAAAATGACTGGACAAAAAACTTAGCATTAAGAACCAGTGACCATTTAGTACACCTGCAGCATGTTTTAATTCTCCATTAATCTCCGTATATGAACCAACTGGAAACCAAAAACTTCATCGAAATTTTAAAAGTTATCTTCATTTTATTCGTCATATCATATTTCATTGATTGTTTGACTCCCTTTTCACTTCTCATGACTTTCTACGACTTTTAATCACATTACTTACGAATTTCCCTAATTTTCATCTTATTTATTTTTATCTTTATGTGCTGATGTGAGGTGTAATAAATTGGGTTATTAAGCAGTATTTTTAGGTCTCTGCTCACTGGCTAACAGAACCTCATAAATGTCTTGGAAACTAGTACTAACAAATCCAACATTCTTCTGCTCAAATTAAACCGTTTAGCATCAACTCCGCGTTTTCTACCACAACTGGATTTTAGTCACCTCATCGAATCTAGCCAAGAAGATTGGAATTGTCGATATTTTTCAACCGAGTATTCGAAGACTAAAGGGACTGATTATATCTCTCGATTTGCCGATTCCAATGTTGACTTCACCCTTTCTTCTGACACCAACCTCATGGCTTGACGTGACCAGGGTGTTCAATAGAAAGCAAACTTAGCTAGTTTCTTATTTGTCACGCGGTAACCAATCAAAACAGTAAGAATTGTATAATAATGAAACATAAATGTGTCCTTAACAAGTGAATATAAGCTTTTTGTTTCGCGTTCTCTCTCTCTCTCTCTTGCATGCTCACTTTATAATTACATAAAGCACTAAAGAATGCAGTACAAAATAACAACATGGCATGCTAAAATCAAATATAGGCTATATATATATATATATATATATATATATATATATATATATATATATATATATATATATATATACTTGATTTACTGTGAATAATTTAGCTAGACTCAACCAATGAATCGATAAACAAATGTGAGCAAAAATTGGTGGTACAATTTTGCTAATTTGTAGGTAAATAAATACACACTAGCATTCATTGAACAATTTTTCACAAGCAGATCCGTCATGATTACGAATCTTATTAGATATCAGGTAATAAGCGCTATTATATGGATCGATCTTTGGTAGGTAACTGATGCACCTATCTGGCCACTAGTGCTCATTACTGAAAGAAGTCTATGGATTAAGTTTACAATATGCCTGCTAAGATAAATGACACAGCTTGGAATGGACAAAAGAACATCAGTTTCTGATGACTGCAGATACGTCTTGCTGATGAGTGTCAACAAGCACAAAACTTAAGTATGGTAGAGCTTGATGTCAGTTGATTCCTAACGTCTATCATATTAATTAGTATCACTGTTTGTTCAAAGAGGCTTCATACAGCAAGGGAAGAAACATCTGTTATAAGGTTTAGGAATACAAGTGATATGTGAAAATTAAATGAGAAGAGTGTTTTTCATTGAAAGCCACTACACACTAAAATAACCAGAAAAATTTACTATCAGAATAAAGGATGAGCATTACAACTTCCTCACCAGTAAACTCTGGTACTGAGAAAATGTGGAGCTATGGCTCATTGGTTTAGGGAGATGGCTTTAAACCAGTGGACCATGACTTCGAGCCTCACCCCACCTACCGAGGTTTGGACAACCCTCACATAAAAAGGTTTGGCTCATTGCCAACGCACGGATGTGCACAAGGTTGCTAAGTGCAATTTGACTCGATTCGACTGAAAAATGGGGGAAGTGATTTTATTATATGACATCAGCGATTTGTACATAAAACAGTTCGTGTAAGAAAATTTTCCGATGCTGAAATCCATTCACAACTTTCTGATTTTTTATTCATACCTAGTATTCAATAGCCGAAATTCTAGGTAGTATCTAGCATGCCTGTTCCATTTCATTGGAAAGTCAACAGATGCATATATTTGTACTCCACTAAGGCCTGAAACAAGTGTATATAGTTTCAAATAATCTAGGTATTACGCTTAGTTTATATAGCCACCTCTTACTTTGAAAGCTTGTGAATAAATTCAGAAACAAAAATGATCTGATGGTCTAGTGAAAAATATTTCATGTCTACGTATACAGAACCCGTATAAAAACGAATATAAATGAGTTAAAAATTCACCTTAAAATTCAACTAATCGCATTCCAATCATAACAAATAATAATAATTTTCACTACCATACCTGTGTTGTTTAGTTTTAGGTACATCAACTAACACTTGAGAAAACTAATTCAATAAAAAGTTCATAATAGATTGAAGAGAGTTAGAAAAGCAGAGCAAACCACAAGTTACTGGATAAGTTATTTTATCCTAGTTTAAGAATCGACAGAAATATGCACCCATGACCCCATATATGATATTTTTGAAGACTTCAATAACTTGTAGTAGGCTAGTTACCACTTGAAAACTAGGCTGAGATCTAGTGATCCATATTTCCCAACTTTTGTTAACTAATGACACACCAAGGGGGAATCATCTATCGTCCAACTCTATTCGACTGAAAAAACAGGCTACAGGCACCGGTTAGAAATCCACCTCAAAATTGGTCATTAGCTAGGACTTAACAGCTTTGGTTCTTTGTTTATTATCCTTTTGTAATGGGAAGTGATATGCAGCCAATCATTTCTCAAGAAATCCATCCAGTTAAACAAAATATTTCCTAGAATAATATTCACTAATTTCAGATTTTTAAAAATCTTATCTGATCCCACAGAAACTATTGGGTTATGGGAAACTAGGAGATATCGGACAGTGTCATTTACAATGGCTCAGATAAATCCAACAAGAAATTCAGCGAAGAAACTCTTCTCAATGAATTTATTCTCGTACACACATAATATTTGAAAAATTTTATCCCAAGCAGAAATCTAGGCAATGGGTTCAAACCTTTATCACCACCTAATTCTCCAATCTCTTTTTGTCTCAAACCTGCTTTTCTATACAAACTCGCAGGTTTTTGGTCCTTAATTTGACACTATATCTCTTCTATTGGTCTTCTTCCTGACTGATTCTTCTAAGTAAGTCAACTTGAAGCGAAGTACATCTTCGCCAAATTATATGGTATTGGAAATGAACAAAAATACCAGAAACCCTCATCATTATGGCTTTCATCTTGCTGATAAACACCTAGATTTACCTTCTCTTTAGGAGGGTACCAGAACATGTCAGCTGAAAATTATTACACTCTTTTCTCTCCCTGTGGTCTTCTGGTATCTGTCGTAGGGGTATTTTAACTAGATTTGAGAAAACCAAAATTAAATCTTAAACTCCAGACAAGACTGGTTATGACAGGTGGTAAGCCGGTATTGTTTTGGCTCTGCGATCACGGACCAGTATTATTAATAATAATTTCTTTCTCAGATGCATCAAAAACTAACTTATCACGAAGTGGGCAGCTGGGAAGTATCAGTCTCCTTCATAAATCTCTCCGTTAAGAATGTCCTGTTACTCCATTCTTGTTTGGTTTTGACATAGGCATGGTTATGAAGGTCTCCCTCAATCCATTCGACTCTACAGGAATTGATATTATGATAGGAAAATATCTAGTAGACTAACAGTAGGCAGATCAAACACCTTCCACACCTGAAAAAGCCAACAGTCTCCACAATATTATGAACACGTCAAGTAGCAATCTGCACATCCTTAACATGCGTTGCTCAACATCAAAATGCGAATTGTTCCCCAAAAGAAACATCTTCACTAGTGCTCCATATAACAGCAGGAAGTAAAGTGGTGGATTCATTCCACC